TGGCGACGCCCGAGATCAAGACGAAGACCGCTGACATCGCTGACAGCAGCCCCGTCGAGCTGGTGAAGGCTATCGGCCTGGAGGGGTTCCGCCGCGTCAAGGCCAGGGCGGAGGCGATGGCGAAGGCGGGGGCATCGGCATCGGCATCTTCGGCATCGGCGTCGGCGTCGCAGGCATCGGCCCAGTCGTCGTCGCCGTCGCCAGTCGAAGCTGCTGTCAAGCGCATGGGCGGCCAGCAGCTCAGGTTGACTGAGATGTGGCCGTAGCCGTAGGGTGGGCGCCGGGCAGATCGGGCCATCGGTCACTGCGGCCATGAGGGCCACTCACTAGCCGCACCAGCCGCACCACCGCACCAACGTTTATGTTTATAGTAATTGTGGAATTGTGGAGTTCTGCCCACGGGAGGCTTCTCTTTTCCCAAGAACACGGAAAGGGCAGGGTGTTAACGTGGCGTTGTTATGCGCGTTTCGGCAAGTGTGCGAGTGTGACTATTGTTACAACAATCGTCGCTGCGTCGCTTGGGTCACTGGGCTTGGGCCCCCTCTCCTCCTCCCCCCTCCTCTCTTCCTCTCCCCTTCTCCTCCTCTCGGAGAGGAGGAGGAGAGGGGGAGGGAGAGGCACCTCTCTCCCTCTCTCTCTCGCTCCCTCACTGCGTTGGCTGCGCCTCATGGTGCCATAGCGGCATAGCGGCGGCCCGTGCCTTCGTTGCGTAGCAGCAGGCGTGTGGGGGGCCGCCGCCCCAGGTCACGCTGCGCAATGCAGCGTGCTGCAGTTTGCCGGCGCAGTCACAAAGAGGTAAGACATTCCCCTCCCTCCGCCCCTCCGTCCCTCCCTCCCTCCCCGGGCAGACAGGGCCCGTCCCTCCTCCGTCCCTCCCTCCCTCCGTGCCTCCATCCACCATCCGTCCCTCCCTCCGCCCCTCCCTCCGCCCCTCCCCCCCTCCGCCTCTCCCCCCCTGGCCCCTCGCTCCCTCCCCGGCAAGACAGTCAAGAAGACAGGCAAGACGACAGGGCGCTTTCAGCTTTTCAGTGTGTGATTTCAGAGATACGGAGATACGGAGATACGTGAGATACCAGATCAGGCTCGCACCCAGTAATTAGATTCGCTCGACTCGACATGTATTCGACATGTTCTGCATCAGATTGGTTTGCAACATGCGTAGTCGACTCGACAACTCGACAACTCGGCGCCCCCGAAACAGTATAACAAACATCGGTTCCTGGGCGGCCGCTAGCGGCTGCTGCTGAGCCCGGGGCCCCGGGGCCCCGATGGGACGATGGGATGGGCCTGATGAGTCATCAGCCTGATGAGCCCGATGGGGTTGGCCCGTCGGCCTTCGGCCACGCCCTCGCCCTCCGCTGAGCCTTTCAGTGCCAAGCGCCAAGCGGACCTAGCACTAGCGCTCCGCCCCGCAGGAATATCACACTATTACCCTCCTGGCCGCCGCCGGCCTTACCCCTTTACTAACCCGCACCTCTGTTCTACTGCCCGTTCGAGCGGATGATTGGATTCGGGGCGCTGAAAAGAGAGAGGACGCAGCAGCCTGTGGACCCGGGCTCCAATCCGGATCTTTCTGAGCCCCTCGTGGTGCTTCGGCTTCGTGGTGGAGCAGCAGGGGCAGACGACGATGATGACTCTTCGGATGACCGCTCGCCGATTCGCGGCCCTGGAGGCGGGGGCTCTGGCCCTTCCGGCTCTGGCGGGACTGGCGCCGAGGACGACGAGACGGAGGCGTTGATCATGGCGCCATCTGAGCTTGACAAATTCGCTGTCAACCCGACTGGGTCGTACAAGACGCGCCACCCAGGTCTTGAGGGTCGCTTGCTTCAAGAGCGGGCCCGCAGGGACTACATCTTGGCGGACAGAAATGGGGAAATGGGGAAATGGGATCAACATGATAATATGACGGGATGAGGGAGGATGGCGAGGTGGGCGGAGGAGCGGGGCGATGACGAGCGAGGAGGCGATGGGCGATGAGGCCAGGGGGCATGGGGGCAAGGCTGGTAATGGGGAGGAGGAGGGAGAGGAGGAGAGGAGATGAGGGCGGGAGGAGGCGGGTGACTAGAAGGTGAGGAGGTGAGGAGGTTAGGAGGTGAGGAGGAGGAGAGCAGGTGGTGATGTTGGCGGGGGGTGGGGGAGGGGGGGGATTTGTGTTTATGTATGCCCGCTGCAGGAAAATATTACAATGGCTTTCTTCGATACCGAGCGCCCCGGCGTCCGCCTCCTTCGCAAGCACAGCACCAATTTGCGTAACCAGAAGCGGACCGCGGCCAAATACTGCGAGACCATCAAGAAGAAAGGCATCCAGAAGGGCGCCCGCAGCGAGATGGTCGCAGTTCCGTCTTCTGATCTCCCGAGCGCTCAGTTGGCAGTTGCTTATGGTCGCCAGCATGGCAAGCCTATTGAACTGGAGGTGGAGTTCGTCGCAGGTGCCCACCTCATGGAGGGCTCGTACATGGCGTGGGATGAAGCGCCAACCAACCGCCAAGTTCGTTATTCCATGCGCTCAGGCTCGCAGGCGCCAGCAAAAGGGAAGGCCGCGGGGCCGCGGCCTTTGGGGCCACCAGGCCACCAGGCGGCCAGGGGATCTTGCTAGCCCCCTGGCCCCTAACGTCCTATCGGCCATAACGCGGGGGCGGCAACGCGGGCCAAGATACCGCCCAATGCCACCTAACCCACTAGCCGCCCCCCCTCCCCCATGAGGGCCCCATGAGTTCAAATCCACACCTCGCCACCTCACCGCCCCCCTCCCTCACGGGCCCCGGGGGGCGCCAGAAAAAATCGCGAGACCGCGAAGCCACGACGACGACGCGACGTCGAGATCCCCGCGCAGGCTTGCCTGGCGTGACGCTCTTGGACCCTCGGACGCCGCTGGACGCCCTGGCTCACTTCTTGGCCTTGGGCAACGAGCAGAACGGGCTAGCGTCGCAGACCTCGCACATGGACATGTTCAATCAAATCAGGCCTCTCTCTGACACGTTCGCAGACATTGAGAAGGAGAGGAAGAAGAGGATGAAGGCGGCGGCGGAGGGGAAGCCCGAGGCGAAGGAGAAGGAGGCGGAGAAGGAAAAGGATAAGAAGCAGCGGGAGCAGAGCGGCTACGAGACCAGGTTCTGCCAACCCAGCACAAACCCAACCGATCCACACTCTTTCTCGCATCCTTCCTCTTTCCGCCTCGTATCACCGTCTCACCGTCTCGCCCTGACTCTCTACCTCTCTACTGCCCCGCGTCTGCGTCTTCCCCGCCATCGTCCTTTATCTTCCTCGTGTCTCATATCATTCCTTCCTTCCTCTCCCCCCCCCTCTCCTCTCAGGACTCCTCCTCTCCGGTGCTCCTCTCCTCTCCTTCTCTCCTCCTCTCATCCGTCTCCGTCCCTTCTCCCCTTGGCCCCTTGGCCCTCCTCCATACCTCCATATCTCCATGCCTCCCCGCCCCCTCCTCCTCCCGCCCCCCCGCCCGTCTCCGATGGTTCCGGGAGTGGCTGCAGAAGGATCACAAGGACACGTTCGACGGCTTCGGTAGCAGTTTCGAGACCTTCAAGGATGCCCGCGCCTTCGTCAACGGCATGGTCGAGTTCGGCATCTGGGAGGCCTACGCCAAGGACCAGAACGACAACGTCATCTTCCACACGAGCGTCATCGACAACGCTAAGGTCATGAAGATATGCTGCGAGGTCTTCCGAGCGTTCAAGGGGGGCGTCGCCAAACGCCCAGACCAGAAGCTGGCGTACATCGACGTCCTCCTGGACGTTCTCAAGTTCACAACCCCCAGGTGGGCATCGCCCAACAACGAGGACCTCGACGCTGCTGATCTTGTTGGTGATGAACCCGAGGTGGATTGGGTCTTGAAGGAGCCGGGCGACGTCGCCAGGTGCGTCAAGTTCTTCTTCGTCCCATGGACGCCTCAGAAGAATCTGGCGACCACCAGCGAGGACCGAGCCGAGCCAAAGTGACCGCGGGGGGTCGGGGGGAGGGAGGAGGAGGGGGGGCCAGGAGGAGAGGAGGAGAGGAGGGGAAAGAGGGAAATATGTCAGTCAGTGGGTGACTGGATGGATGAGTGGATAAATGGATGAGGGAGACAGGGAGACAGCGCTGGCAATGCAGCAGTGGGCCTTCTTGCCGCCCAGGCTGATGTCACTCCGCTCCCCGCTGTCTCGGCCTGGCGGCGAGGTGGGGGGTCCAGGGGAGGGGGGGGGGGGGGGTATAGTAGTACACTAGGTATATTATGGGCAGTCTGGCTGGTATGATTGGCATGGCATTCTGGTATTCTGGGTGCCACCGTCTGTCCGTCTGTCTAATTACATGTGCGCGATTCACACTCATGCACTCATGCGCTCATGCACTCATGCACTCATTCACATTCACTCATTCACTGCACATGCGCATATCAACGCATCAACGCAATGGCACATTGATACGAGGTCAGGGCGGGAGAAGAGATGGCGATAGCGCACCCGCGCACCCTCCTGGCCTCCTAGCCTCCTAGCCGCCTCTTAGACGCTCTGCCCCTCCCCTGTTGCCATTCCTCCCAAAGGGCCCTTGGGCATGAGGCAGATGAGGAATCTGCTCGTTGTGCCCGCGTGGCCCCAAGCGAGACTTCACAACCCTCGATAGCCGATATACCCCTCAAATCCTCGAATTCCTTTTCGGCCTTTCGGACTTTCGGCCCCTGGCCAAAGGTCCTATGGCTCCATGGCCCCATGGCCCCCTGGCTACGGCCTCGTCGAGTCCTCGGCGTCGCTGGCCTCTGCCCCCCCTTCCCGGGGCCCAGAGCTGAGTGCCCCAATCGGCCCAATGGCCCAATGGGCCCAATGGGGCGAAGCGAAGGGCACCCCCTCCCCCCTTCCCCTTTCATCCTCATGCTTCCATCCCCCCGCCGACAGGGCCGCGTCGAGCCCCAGGTTCCCGTGGTCTTCATGAACCCGCGCGCGGAGGTTGCATCATCTGCAGATTCGCAGGCGCCGAAAAGGAGGAGGACCAGCGGGGCGCCCCAGTCGCAGGCGGGCACCGCGACGCCGATGACCAGGCCCGAGCGGAAGATCTACCTCGACGAGATGATTCACTGGATCAGCTTTGCGCTCAGAAACATCAGCCAATCGCAAGTCGACCGCGCGTGCCGGCAAGCGCGCCTGTGGTGCGTGCATTTCGCCATGTTGCAGAGGATCATGGTCCCCGCGTACAGTGAGAAGCTCAAGAAATGCAAGGGGCTGGAAAACGGCAGGCTCAAGATCGGAAATTACCATAGTTTCCGCAAGTTCGCCTGGGGCTTCCTGCTCGACAAGGTGCCCGGCACGGTGGGGTGGGACAGCAAAGACGCAGACGACGATGAGCCCGGCGCGGACGGCGCGGACGGCCAGGGCGACTCTGGGGCCGCCGCTACACTGGAGGCCGAAGTGGCGAAGCAATTGAAAGTTGACCCGGTCGTGGTGGGCAGGTGCTTCGAGGTCATCAAGACCAGGGCCAACATCCAGAAGGAGATTGGCCTTTTCCTCAAGGACAACCCGCTGAATCTGTTGGGGGCGATGCACGTGGCGAAGCGGAGTCACGCCTGCCTGAGCAAAATTCTCAACTCTTTATGGGCTGAGGTGATCACCGTTGGAACGGGCGGCTTCACCGCGATATTCGCGCCAGGCCTAACTTACATGGACACGGCGAAGGCCATCGTCACCACCGTCGGCAAAGTACTTTTGGAGTATCTCGACGGTACTTTCGTTCAGGTGGCCCAGGACCTCCAGACCATCGGGCAACAGTTTGGCCAGTACTGCTTCTCCACAGTGAGCCCCCAATTGCAGCTGCTGCTGCAGGCAGTTTCGTTTCCTTGTCATCTTCATCTTCGTCTCTTCGTCTTCCTCCACTACTCCACTACTTCTCCTACTCCGCCTCCTCGCCTCCCCCGCTGCCCCACTGCTCCACTCCCCCACTTTCCCCATCCTCTGTCCTCTTCCTGCTTCCCTCTTCCTCCTCCTCCTCCTCCTCCTCCTCACCTCCTCTCCTCCCGCTCCCACCTCTGTCCCTCTGTCCCCCTCTCTTCCTCCTCTCTCTCCTCTCTCCCTCTCTTCCGTCGCAGCCGCCCCCTCCTGTGCTCCTCTACTCCTCTACTCCGCCCCTCCTCCTCTCCCTCCTCTCCTCTCCTGTGCTGTGCCAATCCGCATCCGACTCAGATACGAAGATACGATGTCAATCTTATGTTGTTCCCGATTCCGGGGGCCTCCCTCTGGCAGAGGCCGCAGAGGCCCCCAGAAATGGGAACAACATAAGGTTGACACCACTGACACCGTTGACTCATTGACATCGTATCCTCGCATCGTATCCCCGCCTCCTTGCCTCCTCGCCTCCTTGCCTCCCTACCTCGCCGCCGCCTCGTCCCCTGAATTCATCGCCCCCTCGATTCCTCGCATACTCGCCCTACTCCCCCTCGGTTTTCCGATTCCCCCAGGCTTTCGGCGATGCGGACGCGACCGAGAAGAATCTGGAGACGTTCCTGAGTCTGAGGGCAAAGTATGCAATCCAGTGCTTCAGCGAGCTGAAGGACATGAGGGCCCACGTGCATCAGGCTGGCGCGGTTGGCGGCCTGGACTCTAGCTCAGATGGGCCCATTGCAGAAGCTTTCAATTGCATGGAGTCCTCATTGGCCTTCCTGGTACATTTCGGCCCTAGCGTTTATGTCATGGATGCCAGTCACGGCACGTCGATGGAAAGTTGGGTGGCTGGTTGGGCGGGGGCAATCGAGAAGACCAGCAAGGTGGCCCAGCAAGTGTTCACGCCCAAGACAGAGCAGGAATGGGCCAAGATCGGCCAACATGCCCGCGGCAGGTTGTCACCTATGACCAAGACCGACCAGCTGGCCAAACTCGGGGAGGGAGAGAGGACAACGGCCCAGAGCGAGAATTGGAAGAAGGAGCAGATAATCGAGCTCCTGGTCGGTGCCATTGTTGAGCAACAGAAGGAAGATGAAAAAGAGGTCGCGGAGGAGTGGCGCAAGGTCGCATCCGACTACAGCGAACACGTCAGAATTCTGAAGTCGAAGGACAGCCAGGATAGCAATGCCAGCATCGATTCGATGCTGGATCAGGTGGACTCCTCGGTCGGCGGCGATAGCAAGTTCACTAAGCTGTACTCTGGTGCTGGCCACTCCCCAGAGACCTCTAGCAATTTCCACTCCATCGACGCCGCTGCCAAACTCACTAGCTTGGTCCATGCGAAGCACTCGGACTATGGCTGCAGCGAATTATTTCGCGCGGCCGTTTCGGACACGAAGCTTCTCAACAAACCTTGTCCAAAGGTGTTCGCTGAGTTTGAGTGCGTGCCACGCCCCGAGGATCTCGTTCTGACGCTCACGGGGAAGGTGACGGTCGGGGACTCGGCGCCAGTCTCCAAGAACGTCTACGCGGCGGGGTCGTTGCTCAATGGCGACAAGCTGTTCATCCACCCCTCCATGAGTGCCGTGCTGCCGCGTTCGCCAGGGTCTATCCCTGGGTGGTTCGTGAGGCCGCTGAGATCGGACTCGACGAAGCCGCCGACCATGGTCCCCCGCAATGTGGAGATGGACCCGCGCTGGAGTAAACAAATCCTGCCCTCTGCTCGGCCTCCTCCTCCTTCTTCTCCTCTCCTTTCCTCCTATCCTCCTCTCCTCATCTCCTCCTCTCATCCTCCCACTTCCATTCCTACCTTCGCCCTGGGGTCCTGGAGTCCTGGTGCCCCGGGGGTCGAGCCGCTCCCCTCTTCCCCTCTGCCCCTCCCATCATCCGCTTCCGCGCTTCCGCCCCCTCCGCCGTCCCCCAGCAAAGCCCGCGCCCATGCCGCGCCGCGCCCAGCCCCCGCGCAGGAGACCGAGATCAGACGGGACGCGGAGGGCAAGCCTGTGATGGCGAAGATCACCGTCAAGCAGCTGGTTCACCATGATTGCCCATCCCTGCGGCGCGGCCCCGGCGGGAGGGCGGAGAGAACGATGGAAGGGTGGACAGTGTGGAAGGGTGGAAGGGGGGAGAGGGAGGGAGGGAGAGCGAGCTGAGTGAGAGGGTGGGCGGGGAGGGGGTAGGGCAGAAGGACAGAAGGAGGAGCTGGGCCGACTTGGTCGTGCTGTCGTGCTGTCGTGCTGGTCGCAGCGACCGAACCGAACTGACTCGCTGGATCATTTGGATGATGATCGGATGATCGGACGGGCGATCAGTGATCAGATATGAGAAGGTCCCAGCGCTCCAGCGTATCGAAATTGTCGGATTGCGCGAGGCATGATGTTTGTGTTGTCGCCAGGGTTTAGGAGGGCAGCGCGCGCATGCCAGCATGCCATTCCATTGCATCCCTAGGCGATCGGCGATCGAGCGAGCGGTGCGATTGGCGCGATCGGGCGATCGAGCGATCGAGCGACGAGCGAGCGATGCGATCGATTCGACGATCAGTCGCGCCAGGGCGACGCAGCGACAGAGCGACGACGACAACGCCTCAGTAACCTGATTATGATTGTCACGCGATGGGTCCCGTCCGAATCCGCCGTGCCCGGGGCCCCCCGTGCCCCCTGTGCCCGATAATATGTCAGCCTGTCTTCCCGATCTTCAATCCGACCCCCCGACCCGACGACTGACCCGACGACTCGGCCCGACGACCCGACCCCCGCCGATCTCATAATCGGCCCCGACCAGGTTCTTAACCCCGAGGCGTTCACCGAGGAGAAGCCGCCCATGCCGCCTGCAAAGGATGCTACGAAGGATGAGAGGGCCACGTACAAGGAACCTGTCCTTCGTCGCGTCGTCTCGTCTCGTCCCGGGCTCATGGGCTCGTCTCCTCATCTCCTCATCCCCCCATCTCCCCACCTCTCCTCCTCCTCCTCAGGCCTCCTCCTCCTCCTCCTCCTCCTCCTCCTCTCCCTCCCCCCCCCTCCCCCTTCCCCCCCCCCACCTGCGTTGATTTTCACAGGATGCCCTTGCGAGTTATAAGAATGGCGTCCTGACCGCGAAGTTCCGGGCGGGCCGCGTTGACCCCTGGGATGACAACTCCGCTATCTGCCTGATCGAGCTGACCAGGTCTCCGTTCGCGGAGGAGATCCACGGCGGTGGATGCGGTGGATCCGCGTCATCAGACGCGGGCCAGGCGCCGGCGATGGGCAGATGCAATCACATATTCAAAGGTAAGTCGGTAAGGGTAAGTCCGTGTCGATGATGAGTCCGACGCGGCGCGAGCGCGATCGACCGATCGACCCGATGAGCCGATGATATGATGAGCTCGCGTTTTGACAGGGTGGCAGGATGGCAGGATGGGGGGATGGGAGGATAGGAAGATAGTGGAAGAAGGGGCGGCGGGGAGGAGAGAGGGATACAGGGATAGAGAGACACAGAGAGAGAGAGAGAGTTAGCGGAGGAGTCGGAGCGGAGTCAGGAGGGGATGATAGATTCATAGATTCATAGACGACGCCCCAGCCAGATCGAAGAGCCCAGAAGCCCAGCCCAGAAGCCCCAGACCCCAGACCCCAGAAACCCAGGAGCCCACTAGCCCATGGACGGTGAAGGTCGCGCTGAGGTTGCGGGGCCCGCCCCAACCGCAGGGCGCCGAGACGGCGGCCGAGGCCGAGGACATCGCCGCCATGTGGGACAAGATGCCGCTGGACCTGATCACCAGGACTGCTAAGCACCTGCTGAAGTAGGTAGCGCCGCGCCTCTCGGCCTCTCGGACTGGGGCTCTCGTTTATCGTTTCTGGTGGCCGCCAGTGCTCTCCTCTCTCCTCTCCTCCTCTCCGTTCTCTCTCCCTCTCTCCCTGTGCTCGCTCCTGCCTGCTCGCCACTTCCTCCACTTCCCTGATCTCCTGCCCTCCCGTCCAGCTGGACGGCCCATCCAGGCCCATCCAGTGGGCCAGTGGGGGTTCTGGGGCCCTGGGGCTATATCGCTATGTCCATATCCCCATTCCCTTGCGTCTTATATTCTTATATTGCCAGATCTCCAGATCTCCTCCTCTCTTCCTCTCTCTGCTTGGCGTTTTAGCGCCGTGCGTGCACGCCGAGCCCCCCGTGGGCCCTTGAGGCGGGGCCTGGGCATCGGGCTTCCTAGCTGCCTGGGCCCAGGTGCTCGTGGGACTCGGGGCGTCGTCGGGGGGCGCCGCGCCCGGGGGCGCCTGGCAATCTGTTTAGCTGCTGATTGGGCAGCAGCCGCTTCTAGCTCGCCGCGAGCGAGACGACGAGACGACTGGCAACTGGGCATTAAGAAGCTCACGGGCTCACGGGCTAAATCTAGGGAGGAGGAGCAGGCTAACACATTAAGAAGCTAGGGGGGAGCTGGGAGGAGGAGGAGGAGGAGAGGATGAGAGAGAAGGAGGATAAGGAGGAGGAGGAGAGGAGGAGAGGGGGAGAGAAGGGAAGTTCGGACGTTGAAGTTAACCGACTGACCAATGACAAATCCACCAACCAATCCAAACCAACAAGTCCGCAGCCGCCGCCGCCGCCGTCGTCGTCGTCGTCAGGACGTCAGGACTCAGGACGTCGCAACGTCTCACTCGCGGCGCGTCTGCAGGGCCCGAGGTCCTGGCGACCTCTGGGGTGTGGCCCCGCCTGGCGCCTCGCGGCGCATCTAGTCACTGTCGCGTAGGTGCGACCCTGCCTGGGGCGAGGCAGGGCCCACGTGCTCGCGAGCTCCCGCCCGTGGCGCCCTGGTCCAGCGGGCCCGGCGGGCGCCGAGAAGAGGGCGGGAGGAGGAAGGGAGGAGGGGGGGAGGGGAGGAGGGAAGGAGGGGAGGAGAGGAGGGGAATGGATGGATGGATGGATGGAGGAATGGAGGAATGGAAGAGGCACGGTGAGAGAGGGCGAGAGCAGTGAGATGAGGTGAGACACTGAGACAGGAGGACGAACGGAGTCAGTGAGTCAGCCAGGAAGCGACGCGAGGGTGACGAGGAGCAGGAGGAGGAGGAGAGGTAATGAGGGCACCGTCGAGGTTCGATGATGACAGCGATACTTTGGAGGAGGTGCAAACATGAATAGACGATTAAGACTTGAGCAAGTCACAGAAAACGAGAGTGGAATATGGGGAATCGGGAAAGGGAAACATAGATTTAGAGAGAGAGGGATAGAGAGAGAGAGAGAGAGAGAGAGACAGACAGACAAACAGACAGACAGACAGACAGACAGACAGACAGACAGACGGACAGACAGACAGACAGACGGACAGACAGACAAAGAGACGCGGTCTCCTGGCCTGCCGAGCCTGGGAGCCTGAGCCTGGGGGCCCGGGCGGCGCCGCGGCGCTGGATTTTTGAGCCGCCGCGGCAGCGACGCCGCGCGGCCTTGCGCCTTGCGCTTTTGTTCCCTCTCTCTCTCTCTCTCTCTCTTTCCCCTGTCGTCGCCGACGCCGCGCCGCCGCCGTCGTCGTCGTCGCCGTCGCCGTCGTCGTCGCCGGCGTGTTTGTCGTTGTCGTCTTATCGTCGGCATCGTAGTTGTCGTCGTCGGCGCCGCCTACTCTCCTCTGTAGTTCTCTCCTTAGTCCTAGTCCTTTCTGTCCTTTCTCTTTTCCCCCCCCTAGCCCTGTTCCCGGCCCTGTCTCCTCCTCCCTCCCCCCTCTCTCCGCCTCCCCCTGGCGTCTCATCTGGTCTGTGTCGCTGCTCTTCCTGTTCCGGTGTTCCTCCCCTCCTCCTCCTCCTCCTCCTCCTCCTCTCCTCCTCCCCCCTGCTGCGCCTCGCTGCTTCGCCGTGCTTCGCGGTGGATCGCGGGCAGCGGCGACGCGACAGAAAAGTGCAGCGTCAGGAGGGCAGGGGCAGGGAGAGAGAAGCAGAAGGCAGCGCCATCACTATTTGGGGTCCACACCGTGCTGGCCACGCGCGCCGACGACGACGATCAAAACGACGACGGCGACGTGACGGCGACGACGACGACGCGACGACGACGACGGAAAATGCAACGTGCGGACACTGTTTGGGGTCCACGAGCTGGCAGACGAGGTGCATGCCGGCGCTGGGCGAGCGCTGTTTGGGGTCCAGGAATCGGCAAACCAGCGCGTGAATCATCCTTGAGTGGGCCCGGTGGCCTCTCCGCCAGCTCCGCCGCGCGTCTGGATCGAGCGCGGAACGCGCTGGTATGTTAAATGGCTCACATATAGATTTCTATCACTTTTCCAAATCGCTTCCGTTTCAGCGCCGTTTCGGGGAAGCCTTCGTGATCCACCCCGGGGCAGCAAAACACATCCCCAGGCGTGGCACTTTCTCGACACCACAGGGGGTGCCTAGCAGGCGTGGCACTTTCTCGACACCACACGGGGTTCACAGGGGGTGGTCTCTCAGCTCGGCCGCTTTCCACGACACTGGCGCAAACTTAGCTGGCGTGGCACTTTCTCGACACCACAGGGTGTGCGCAGGGGGTGGTCTCTCAGCTCGGTCGCTATCCACGACACTGTCGCAAAGCCTAGCTGGCGTGGCACTTTCTCGACACCACAGGGGGTGCGCAGGGGGTGGTCTCTCAGCTCGGCCGCTATCCAGGACAATGTCGCAAAACCTAGCAGGCGCGGCACTTTCTCGACACCGCAGGGGGTGCGCAGGGGTTGGTCTCTCAGCTCGGCCGCCATCCACGACACTGG